GCTGCAACCTCTGTCTCCTGAATTCCAGTGATTCTCCTGCCTCAGCCTCCCAAGTAGCTGGGATTACAGGTGCCCGCCATAACGCCCAGCTTATTTTTGTACTTTTAGTAGAGACAGGGTTTTACCATGTTGGCCAGGCTGGTCTCATACTCCTGGCCTCAAGTGATCCTCCTGCCTTGGCCTCCCAAAGTCTTGGGATTACAGGTGTGAGCCACTGCACCCAGCCTGAGTCCCTTTTTTCTTCCCCCACCCACTCCCTCAGGTGCTCCTTTCTGACTTCTGGGTCTTTCTTTCTTTCTCTCTTACTCTCTTTCCCTTTCTCTCTCTTTCTCTCTCTTTCTTCCTTTTTTCTTTCTTTTTTTTTTTTTTTTTTTTTTGAGACAGGGTCTCACGCTCTCAACCACACTGGAGTGCGGTGCCTCTATCTGAGCTCACCGTAACCTCCGCCTCCCAGGCTCAAGAGATTGTCCTGCCTCAGCCTTCTAAGTAGCTAGGATTACAGGCATGCACCACTACTGCCTGGGTAATTTTTGTGTTTTTAGTAGAGATGGGGTTTCACCATTTTGGGAGGCTCATCTGGAACTCTTGACCTCAGGTGACCCTCCCCGCCATGACCTCCCAAAGTGCTGGAATTACAGGTGTGAGCCACCGTGCCTGGCCCACTTCCCTCTTCTTAGTCAATCCTCTCCCATCTCATCTTCCTCCAGTCCCCTCGCCTGATGGTCCCAGTACTTCATCGTCCACCACCTCCTGGAGGAGTACCCCGAGGTGCTAGGCTGGGGGCTCCTCTCCTCAACCTGGGGCTGAGGTTGACAGCCAGCCATGATCTCTCCCAAACTCTGATCCCCCCCCATGAAACCTGGTCCCTGTTCTGCCCAAAGCTTTCATCCACACTCTACTAGGACCCAGAGTAGTGTGTTCTCTAATCTCAAGGCTGGGGAGAAGTCGGGCATGGAGAACAGCTCTGAGAAGATGCTGTTGTCCACCGGAGCTCCCAAGCACCCACAGAGTTTGGTCCTTCCAGTCAGGAAGGTTGGAATTACAGATGTCTTTGGTCATTCCAACCTGGGAAACAGTTTGAAGAAAAACACAGAGGTGAGGCACGGTGGCTCACACCTGTCATCCCAGCACTTTGGGAAGCCGAGGCGGGCAGATCATGAGGTCAGGAGTTGGAGACCATCCTGGCTAACATGGTGAAACCACATCTCTACTAAAAATACAAAACAATAGCCAGGGTGGTGATGCTGGCCTGTAATCTCAGATATTCCAGAGGCTGAGGCAGGAGAATTGCTTCTACCTGGGAGGCAGAGGTTGCATTGAGCCGAGATCGCGCCATTGCACTCTAGCCTGGGTGATAGGGGAAGACTCCGTCTCGAATGAATTAGTGAATGAATGAATGAGAAAAGTCAGCAAGGGACATTAAGTTTCACATGGCACAGCTAAAACCACTTTCTTCGTTTTTTGATTTTGTTTTTCTTTCTGTTCTTTTATTTTTATTTATTTATTTTTTGGAGATTGACTCTTACTCTGTTGCCCAGGAAAGAATTCAGTGGCGTGATCTCAGCGCACTTGCAACCTGTGGCTTCAAGCAATTCTCTTCTCTCAGCCTCCTGAGTAGCTGGGATCACAGGCGTGCACCACCATGCCTAATTTTTGTATTTTCAGTAGAGATGGGCTTTCACCATGGTAATCAGGCTGGTCTCGAACTCCTGATCTCAGATAATCTACCCACCTTGGCCTCCCAATGTGCTGGGATCTCAGGCATGAGCCACTATGCCTGGCCTGAGAATCCAAGCTTTCTTATCCCTATCACTGACCTTTATTGAGTCTAGTCAAATCATCTGTGGCCTCCTAAGTGTCCCTCAAGAGTGATCCTTAGGATCCTCTGAGTCCTCCCACATGGAGAGCTCACCCACTGGGGGGCATTTCCCACTGGGAAAGTATGGTTATGGGAAGTTTCCTCTTTTTTAAAAGAAAAGGATTAGCGGTGCTTTCTGGGGTGTCCTCCTACCAAGCAGCGTGTTGAAGGCCTCGTAGTTCTTAGGGAGCGTGGGTGACACTTGCCGTCGCTTAAGCTTCATCTTGAGCCCACACAGCGTGCCCAGCACCCAGGTCTCCTCAGGCTCAGGGGCGCGCTCCTTCTCTGTCTCCTCCTCGGGCTCCTTCTCAGATTCGTCCGACCACTCCCTCTTCCTTTTACAGCAAAGGATATTAGGCGTACCAGGATCTACCCAAGGAGATGAGTAAAGAAAGCAGGCCACCGTGTAATGCTTCTGCAATTGATCACCTTAGACCCCGACCCCAAACCCCAATCCACTCTCCATCCTCCCGAGCCCTGCAGACTGTTGGCTTCTGTATGCCATCTTTCCATCTTTCTCCCTTGCTGAACCCCATGTGCCTCTCCTTCTCCTCCCCATTCTTCCATCTGCCTGTCTTCAGAATGCTTCATTTCCTTCCCTAGTCCCTGGATATCGGACTTCCTCCTTTTTTTTATTTTGTGGGACAAAGTCTTTCTCTGTCGCCCAGGCTGGAGTGTAGTGTTGCCATCTCGGCTCACTGCAGCCTCCGTCTCCTCGGTTCCAGTGATTCTCCTGCCTCAGCCTCCCAAGTAGCTGGAATTACAGGTGCCCACCACAATGCCCAGCTCATTTTTGTATTTTCTGTAGAGATGGGGTTTCACCATCTCTACAGAAAATACAAAAATGGCCAGGTGGGTCTCAAACTCCTGACCTCAATTGATCCATCTGCCTCGGCCTCCCAATGTGCTGGGATTACAGGTGTGAGCCAGTGTGCCTGGCCTGAGTCCCTTCTTTCTTCCCCAACACCCTCTTCAAGTGTTCCTTTCTGATGACTCGGTTCTTCCTTCTTTTTTTTTTTCCTTTGACACAGAGTCTTACTCCCTCACCCAGACTGGAGTCCAGTCGCAGGGTTTCGGCTCATTGCAGTCTCTGCCTTCCAGGCTTAAGCGCTTCTCCTGCCTCAGCCTCCTGAGTAGCTGAGATTACAGGTGTGCACCAGTACTGCCAGGATCATATTTGTATTTTTAGTAGAGACGGAGTTCCACCATGTTGGCTATGCTGGGTTCAAACTCCTGACCTCAGGTGATCCACCCGCCTCAGCCTCCCAAAGTGCTGGGATTACAGGTGTGAGCCACTGCGCCCGGCCCCGTTCCTTCTTCTTAGTCAGTCCTCTCCCATCTCTTCTTGCTCCAGTCCCCTCACCTGCTGGTCCTGGCACTTCATCATCCACCACCTCTAGGAGGCAGTACCCCAAGGTGCTAGGCTGGGGGCTCCTCTCCTCAACCTGGGGCTGCGGTTGACAGCTGGCCATGATCTCTCCCAAACTCTGTTCCCTCCCACAGAACCTGGTCCCTGTTCTGTCCAAAGCCTTCTTCCAGACTCGACTAGGACCCAGCAGAGTGTGTTCTGTATTCTCAAGGTTGGGGAGCAGTCGGGAGCAGAGAACAGCTCTGAGAAGATGCTGTCGTCCACCTGAGCTTCCAAGCGCCAACAAAGGTGAGTCCAATCAGGAAGACTGGAATCTCTCATGTCATTGTTTATTCCCACCTGGCAACCAGGTTGAAGAAAAGCATACGGGGGTGGGCACGGTGGCTCACGCCTGTAATCCCAGCACTTTGGGAAGTGGAGGCGAGCAGATCATGACGTCAGGAGTTCAAGGCCATCCTAGCTATCACAGGGAACCCTCGTCTCTACTAAAAATATCAAAAATTAGCTGGCATGGTGTGGTGCTGGCCTGTAATCCCAGCTACTGGGAAGCTGAGGCAGGAGAATCACTTGAACCCAGGAGGCCGAGGTTGTGGTGAGCCGAGATCACGCCATTGCACTCCAGCCTGGGTGATAGGGCAAGACTCCGTCTCTGAAAAAAAAAAAAAGAAAAAAAGTCCGCAAGAGACATTAAGTTTCAGAGGGCACAGCTGAAATTGCTTTCTGTGTTTTTTGATTTTGTTTTTATTTTATTTTTATTTTTATTTATTTTTTAGCAATGGAGTCTCACTTTGTCACTCAGGCTGGAATGCAGTGGCGCAATCATTGCTCACTTACAGCCTCTGCCTCCCAGGTTCAAGTGATTCTCCAGCCTCAGCCTCCTGAGTAGCTTTAACTACAGGAGTGCGCCACCACACCCGTCTAATTTTTTATGTTTAGTAGAGACGGGGTTTCACCATGTTGGTCAGCCTGGTCTCCAACTCCTGACCTCAGGCGATCCACCCACCTTGGCCTCCCAAAGTGCTGGGATTACAGGCCTGAGCTAAAGTCCCTGGCCTTTGTTGTTGTTCTGAGACAGGGTTTTGCACTGTCACCCAGGCTGGAGTGCAGTGGTGCCGTCATAGCTCACTGCAGCCTCCAAGTCCTGAGTTCAAGCGATGTTCTTGCCTCAGCCTCCCAATGTACTGGCATCTCAGGCTTGAGCTACTGCGCCTGGCCGAAACCAAGCTTTGTTATCCCAGTCACAGACCCTTATCAAGTCTAGCCGAGTCCTCTATGGCCTCCTAAGCGTCCCTCATGAGTGATGCTTAGGATCCTCTGAGTCCTCCCACGTGGAGAGCTCACCGACTGGGGGGGCATGTTTTTCCCATGGGAAAAGTATGGTTGTGGGAATTTCCCCCTTTTTAAAAAGAACAGGATTGGAGGTGCTCTCTGGGGTGTCCTCCTACCAAGCAGCCTGTTGAAGGCCTCAGGGTGCCCACAGAGCATGGGTGACACTCGCCGTCGCTTTAGCTTCATCTTGAGCCCACACAGGGTGTCCAGAACCCAGGTCTCCTCAGGCTCAGGGGCGAGCTCCTTCTCTGTCTCCTCCTTGGGCTCCTCCTCAGATTGGTCCGACCACTCCCTCTTCCTGTTCCAGCAAAGGAACTTACTCGGGGTGCTGGGATCTACCCAAGGGACTGAGTAAAGAAAGCAGGCCACCGTGTAACGCTTCTGCAATTGATCGCCTCAGACCCTGACCCAAAACCCCAAAGCACTCTCCATCCACCCCAGCCCCGCAGACTGTTGGCTTCTCCCTTGATGAACCCCATGTGCCTCTCCTTCACCTCCCCATTCTTCCACCTGTCTGTCCTCAGAATGCTTCCTCATTTCCTTCCCTGGTCCCTGGCTCTCTGAGTCCCTCTTTTTTTTTTTTTTTAAGACAGAGTCTTGCTTTGTCACACCCTGAGCTGGAGTGTAGTGATGTAATCTCAGCTTACTACAACATTTGTCTCCTGGGTTCTTGTGATTCTCCTGCCTCAGCTTCCCAAGTAGCCGGGCTTACAGGTGCCTGTCATAACACCCAGCTCATTTTTGTACTTTTTGTAGAGACGGAGTTTCAATATGTTGGCCAGGCTGTCTCAAACTCCTGTTTTTAAGTGATCCGCCTGCCTCAGCCTCCCAGCGTGCTGGGATTACAGGTGTGAGCCACTGCACCCGGCCTGAGTCCCCACCTTTCTTCCCACACACCCTCCTCAGGAGCTTCTTCCTGACTTGTGGGCCCTTCCTTTTTTTTGAAACAGGGTCTCAGTCTTTCACTCAGACTGCAGTGCATGGGCGCGATCTCGGCTCACTGCAACCTCAGCCTCCCAGGTTCAAGCGATTCTCATACCTCAGCCTCCCAAGTAGCTGGGATTACAGGCACGCACCACTACCACCCAGCTAATGTTTGTATTTTAGTAGAGACAAAGTTTCACCATATTGGCCAGGCTTATCTCTGACTCCTGACCTCAGGTGATCCACCCAACCTCACCCTCCTATAATGCTGGTATTACAGGTGTGAGCCACCTTGCCCGGCCCCCTTCCTTCTTCTTAGTCAATCCCCTCCCATCTCTTCTTCCTCCAGTCCCCTCACCTGATGGTCCTGGCACTTCATCATCTATCACCTCCAGGAGGGAGTACCCCAAGGTGCTAGGCTGGGGGCTCCTCTCATCAAGCTGCGGCTGCAGTTGACACCTGGCCATGACGTCTCCCAAACTCTGTTCCCTCCCACGGAACCTGGTGCCTGTTCTGTCCAAAGCCTTTTCCCACACTCTATTAGAACCAGTAAAAGTGCGTTATCTCTTCTCAAGGCTGGGGCAAGTTGGGAGTGGAGAACAGCTCTGAGAAGATGCTGTTGTGCACCTGAGTTTCCGAGCGCCCACGGAGTGTGGTCCAATCAGGAAGGCTGGAATCTCTGATGTCATCGGTCATTCCAACCTGGCAACCAGTTTGAAGAAAAACACATGTAACTGCCAGGCTGGTCTCTTGTCCTGGAGATCCAGGGTCAATAGTGTCTGGATCTCCTGGAGTAAATGGTGTCCTGGGGTCAATGGTGTCTCCTGCCACTGTCCCAACCTCAGACCGTTGTCCAAAAGCATCTTCACTGTTGGCATCCTTCTGTTCCCTGTCCCAGCTCATGCCTGTAATCCCAGCACTCTGGGAGGCCAAGGCAGGCAGATCATGAGACCATCCAGGCCAAAATGTTGAAATCCTGTCTCTACTAAAAATACAAAAATTAGCTGAGCATGGTGGCGTGTGCCTGTAGTCACAGCTACTTGGAGGCTGAGGCAGGAGAATCACTTGAACCCATGAGGCGGAGGTGGCAGTGAGCTGAGATCCTGCCACCACTGCACTCCAGTCTGGGCTATAGAGTAAGATTCTATCTCCAAAAAAAAAAAAAAAAAAAAAAAAAGAATTATGAGTCTCTAAGTACAGATGAGAAAACAACATCAGAGAAAAGTTTCCTAACTTGCCAAACACAGAGACATTCCCTGAGATGGATCCAGTCAAACCTATACTTACTCCCAGGGAAAACGTACATTGGAATATGTAGGGTTTCAATTTTACCCAATTTTTTTTTTTTTTTTCCTGAGACAGAGTCTCACTCTGTCTCCCAGGCTAGAGTGCAGTGGCACATTCTCAGCTCATTGGAACCTTCACCTCTCAGGTTCAAATGATTCTCCTGCCTCACCCTGCCAAGTAGCTGGAATTACAGGTGCATACTACCACAGCTGGCTAATCTTTTGTATTTTAATAGAGAGAGGGTTTCACCATGTTGCCCAGGCTGGTCTTGAACTCCTGACCTCAGGTAATCCACCTGCCGTGGGCTCCCTAAGTGCTGGGATTACAGGCATGTGCCACCACGCCTGGCCAATTTTTACACAATTTTTAAGAGCATGTACTTTTCTGGTGTGTTTGTTCATAGTATTTTATGTTGTTGTTTTAAAAAAATATCCTTTTGGGCTTGTAAGAATGACATAATCTATAATTCACATATTTTTGAAAGTGTGTTCTTACGTTAAAATATACTGTGCTCATTATCCCATCTGCATTATTTAATTAATTTATTTATTTAGAGACAGAGTCTCACTCTATCACTCAGGCTGGAGTGCAATGGCAAGATCTCACTGCAACCTCCACCTCCCAGATTCAAGCGATTGTCCCACCTCAGTTTCCCTGAGAGACTGGGATTACAGGCACACACCACCACACCTAGCTAGTTTTTGTATGTTTAGTAGAGACGGGGTTTCACCATTTTGGCCAGGATGGTCTTGAACTCCTGACTTTAGGCAATCCGCCCGCCTCAGCCTCCCAAAGTGTTGGGATTACAGGCATGAGCCACTGTGCCCGGCCTGCAATATTATTTTTAGAAACACATTTATTTTCCTTTTACCAACTTCTTGGATATTGCTGTTTGCACTGCATGGATTTCCTCCCTTTCTCCCTCCCTTCCTTCCTTTCTGCCCTCTTTCCTTCTGAGTCTCGCTCTGTTGCCCAGGCTGGATGAAGTGGCACCATCTCAGTTCACTGCAATCTCCCACTCCCAGGTTCAAGATTCTCAGGCTCCAGAGTAGCTAGGACAATAGACGCACACCACCGTGCCCAGCTAATTTTCGTATTTGTAGTAGAGATGGGCTTTTGCCATGTTGCCCAGGCTGGTCTCAAACTCCCGGGCTCAAGCAATCTGCCTGCCTCAGCTTCCCAAAGTGCTGGGACTACAGATGTGAGCCACAACCCCCAGCCCTTACTGTATGGATTTTCTTTTTTTTTTTTTTAAAAAAAGAGTAAATTTGTCTGATTTGCCAAAAGGTAAATTGACCTTTTCTTCTCTCCCCTTTTCAAAGAGTTTTTTCTTGATAAAACTTGTAATATAAATAACTTGTTTTGTGCCTTTGATATGCATGTCAATCTTTTTTTTCTTTTTTTTTTTGAGACAGAGTCTTGCTCTGTTGCCAGGCTGGAGCACTGCAGCCTCTGCCTTCCAGGTTCAAGTGATTCTTCCGCCTCAGCCTCCTGAGTAGCTGGGACTACAGGCACGTGCCGAACACCCAGCTAATTGTTGTGTTTTTAGTAGAGACGGGGTTTCACCATGTTGGCCAGGATGGTCTCGATCTCTTGACCTTGTGATCCACCCGCCTCAGCCTCCCAAAGTGCTGGGATTACAAGTGTGAGCCACCGTGCTCAGCGTATGTCAATCTTTTAAAAAGGTAAATAAACTTCTTGCCAACATTATAGCCCAGGAACTTTTTTCTTAAGGGCCTGAGAATCTTCTCTGAAAAGTAAACCTGGAGGAAGATAGCGTCCCCATCTCCCTGTTGCCTAGGGAGTTTAGCCTAGGTACCTTGAGCTGTTACTACCTGTTTGTCAAGGAGATACAAGAAGTTTTAATTTTTCATCGGATACAGGTAATTAACTAGCACGGATGGCCACCTTGATTGCCAGGTGAATTTAGGATGAGTCTTTAGGAATGCATAGTAGGCCAGGCGCAGTGGCTCACACCTGTAATCCCATTACTCTACGGGAGGCCAACATGGTGGATGGCTTGAAGCCACACACAAATCGAAAGAAGGAGTTTGAGACCATCCTGGCCAATATGGTGAAACCCTGTCTCTACTAAAATACAAAAATTAGCAGGTCATGACAGTGCATGTCTGTAATTCCAGCTACTCAGGAGGCTTTGGCACAAGAATTGCTTGAACCCAGGAGGTGGAGGTTGCAGTGAGCCAAGATCGTGCCACTACACTCCAGCCTGGATGACATGAGCCCCTGTTCCCCTCCCCCACAAAAAATGCATAGCAAGTCCTTTTACATGAGGATGAGTTACTGTTTTTATCTTGAGAATGTGTATGCAATGGATTATATCTGCCAGGCTATACAAAAAGGAGGCTTTGACTGGGCTCGGTGGCTCATGCCTATAATCCTTGCACTTTGGGAGGCCGAGGCGGGTGGATCACGAGGTCAGAAGATCGAGACCATCCTGGCTAATGTGACGAAACCCCAAAATACAAAAAAATTAGCCGGGAGTGGTGGCACATGCCTGCAATCCCAGTTACTCTGGAGGCTGAGGCAGAAGAATCACTTGAACCCCAGCATTTGAACTCTAGAATTACTGCACTCCAGCCTGGGCGACAGAGCAAGTCTCCCTCTCAAAAAAAAAAAAAAAAAAAAGGAGGCTTTATTTCTCCTTGCACCTCATTAATGGATCACCTGTGATGGGCATCACATCATCACAGTCTTGTTTAATACTTATTCAATAATAAAATTGTTTATTTTCTGAATTTGTGGAGAGAACATTCTTGGTTTGCAGAAGAATTCACTTTTATTCTTTCCCTACCAGTTTATTTATTTATTTATTTATTTATTTTGAACTCTGTCAAAAGTGCCACTGCATTCTATTGCCCAGGCTGGAGTGCACTGGCATGATCTTGGCTCACTGCAACCTGCGCCTCCCAGGTTCAAGCGATTCTCCTGCCTCAGCCTCCTGAGTAGCTGGGACTACAGGCACATGCCACCATATCTGGCTAATTTTTGTATTTTTAGTAGAGACGGGGTTTCACCATATTGGTCAGGCTGGTCTTGAACTCCTGACCTCGTGATCCACCTGTCTCAGCCTCCCAAAATGCTGGGATCTTTTTCCTTCCTTTCTTTCCTTCTTTCTTTTTCTTTCTTTCCCTCCCTCCTTCCCTCTTTTCCTCTCTCTTTCCCTCCCTCCCTCTCTCTTTTCCTCTCTTTTCCTGCATCCCTCCCTTCTTTCCTTCCTTTCATCTTTCCTTTCTTCCTTCCTTCCTTCTTTCCTCTTTCATGTCTTTCTGTCTTTGTCTTTTTTTTTTCTTCTCTGTTTCCCAGGCTGGAGTGCAGTGGCACCATCACGGCTCACTGTAGTCTCAACACCCCAGGCTCAAGCAGTCCTCTCATCTCAGCCTCCTGAGTAGCTGGGACTATGGGCATACACCACCACACCTGAATAATTTTTTCTTTTTTTTGGGGGGGGGGGTAGAGGTGGGGTCTCACTATGTTGCCCAGGTTGTCCTTTAATTCCTGGCCTTAAGGGATCCTCCCAGCTCACCCTCCCAAAGTCCTGGGGCTACAGGCGTGAGCCTGCAACTGCTGTCTCCCTAAGATGTATAAAACCAAGCTGTAACCCAACCACTTTGGGCTCATGTTCTCAGGAACCTCTGAGGCTGTGTCACCAGCTATGGTCACTGAAATAGGAGGCTCAGAATAAAAGTCTTTGTTTTACAGACTTTGACTCTTTTTGGTCAACAGAACCTAACCCTAAATACAATCCTCTTGGAAAGGTAAGATCAGAGGTATCTCTTTTCTTGTTCGATTTGTGTGCGTATTTCCGGATTTTTCTACAGTTTTTAGGCATTCGCTGTATGATCCAGAAAAGCTACAAATTCTATTTTCCTTTTCTTCCTTGGAAATCATCGCTGGGCATTTATCCTGTTCTAGTATTTGAGTGAAACTTCTCTTGGCATTTCAGCTAAGTGACCATGATACACCCTTTCCTTTCCTTTCCTTTCCTTCTTGTTATGGGAAACTCGGTTCTAACCCAAAGCTTTGCAGGGCAAGGAGAGGACTTGGGCTCCAGGACCCAATCACGCAGCCTTGGACTTGACCTAAAAGGGAGTAAAGACAAATGCGAAGTTCAGTCCGGGGTTCAGGGCTGCCAAACTCGTAGCCTGGAGCGTCTTAACCG